ACAAGGTGACTCAAATCAAGTTAGTTCTAGTTAAAATGTGACTAAATATCAAACTGGTTAGAACAAGGTGACCCAAATCAAGTTAGTTCTAGTTAAAATGTGACTAAATATCGAACTGGTTAGACCAAGGTGACTCAAATCAAGCTAGCTAGAATGGTGAATAAATACCAAGCTAGCGAGAAAATCTTAACTCAATATTCAGAGAATCATAACTCAATATTAAGCCTATTTTTAATCAGTTCCTGGAGAATTTCCGATCGTAAAGAAACTAACTTAAAGAAATTCACAGGTTGTTTTATCTATAACGTGATTACAAAAACCTGGAAAGCTCCATAAGTAACTGCTACCCACAAATGACTTTATCAATCATAGCCCAACCTTTGTTGCCACAGTCAGTATCAGTTAATTATTTTATAGAGTTACTACTTCCTCTCTCTATATAACAACATTTTATCAATTCGAATCTTTGGTGGACACGAGTTTGGATTTAACTCCTATATGATAAACTAAAACTTATATTATATGAAGTTAACACCTGTTCGTGTAACTTAAATCTAAATTGGATAAGCATCTCAAAAGGATTTATTCTTCAACAAAGTTAAGTTATATTACTATATAATTTCTTCGGTTTCATAGTTAAAAGTCCATAACACCCGTTTCTTGTAAAACTCAGTCTCAAGATATACTGGACATTTCTTTTTATTTAGAACCTCCTGGTGACAAAGACAGAAATTTATGTGAAAGAAACTTAATAGTTTTCTTAGGAATTGTTTTTTTTTTATAATTTAAGATGAGTTAAAGGTAAAATCATAATCCAGATGGCTTTTTGGTGATAATTAATACACTTTATAGAATATTTTGGTTATACTTTGAAAATCTGAATTATAGAAATTTCGTTAACCTGCGCCATATCCGTCTTACAGGAGGCTGATTTCGTCATATTAAAACAATCACGGGGCCTCACCAAGTCGTTACAGTCAGTGTCGCCACGTCCGATCATGTTTTATTTGACGACTGTACATTTTGGCAATAGGGCTGGAGCGTAGCTTCCATTACAAAAAAACTCTGTCGTAAGGATGTAAGGTCCGAAGCACAACACTCCTCCTTGCATGCTTTCCATAATCAACCTAGTGTAAGGGAACGAGAACGACGGTTTCTAAGCGCTCATTTTAACAGTCCAGTTGCACAGAACTGCAGAGCCGCTGCGTCTAGCAACCGGGATGTCTTCGTATAAAATAACTTGGATACTCATTTAATTTTCTAGCTGCTTGACCTGCACGTGACGTGCTGATTTGCATATTAAAATCGCTTTAGCATAACGTACTAAAAAATCTCTAAATGAGGAGCGCAATACATGTATTTGATACGAACATTGTAGAAAATATTATCCCATTTACATTAAAAAAAGATTGTATGTTTAAATGTGAAAGCTAGCTCACAGCCGATAACTCGCTTATTATTTCTTTAAGAGAGTCAACCTCTGACGTCGAGAATACAGCAAGCTATAATTCTAATTTTCCACTTCGTATAAGAACTTAATTATCCGAAGAAAAACAATGGCTTTATTTATGTAAAATGAATGAAATAGCCTCCACACAGTATTGGTTTAATGTGTAATGTAAAGCAATTTTCTCCTAACGTTGAAAAATAGAATATACTTGATCTCGTTTCTCTAATTTTATTGATACTATAAAGAATTAGCGAATTTCTTAGCATTTTGAAATAAAATAATCAGTTAAGATGAATAAATTCCAGAGGGAAACAAACCTCCAATGGAAATCCCGTTACAATTTCCAAATTTCAGTAACAGGTGGTTGGCTTTTCTGCTTAGCAACGCAGTTATGCTGTAAGACTACATCAACAGGGGAATACGGTTTGCTCCTCTTTCTACGTCACATAGCATCACAGACAAGGAACACACTTTAACGTCAGTAATAATCAAACGCACATCGTATCAAAGAGTTTTAAAATGCTTCATTTAAAGACACAATACTTAACTTGAGCAATTTACAGAAACTTCTTTTTATAATCTATATTAGTCAGTTGTAAATCTTTTTTTTTTTTAATATAAAGACGTTAGGTAATGCACGTGTAAGCCCATCCGCATGAAAGAAAATCAACTATCTTTTATTCGTCTCTAACGTGTTCCTTTTCTGCATCCACCATCTCCATACGTATTCCTTGTCAATCTCATTACTACTATTAACTCTATGGGTACCATTAATGGCTAAGCCTCTGGGAAATCTCTTTAATTTGTAAGAAACCAATCACTAAATACATCTAAGACTTTTCTGACTGTTTTGTCGTATGAACGTTTACTTGTTTTTATCAGGGATGCATACTTGTTTCTGTGTTAGAACAATCGAAAAATTAAAAGCAAACTGAGTTAATTTAGTAACATTTGAGATTATTTATCCAAAATTGAAAGGAGGAGGTTACAGTTATGTAACAGACACAAAATGCTGCCACATTATAATTTAAAACTGTTCAAATAGTTTATTTTGTGCATTAAATACCTTGATTTCATATTCTTTGTTAGCCAAATACTTAGAAAAACCCATACATTGATAATCCGTCGTTAGACGAAAACAATGAAATCCTTAGTTTAAATAATGTTACCACAATAATAAGCGCGCGTTTGAATTATTTGTATATTATCCCCAAACCCTCAGATTACCATGTTCTTATTTTACGTTTATGATCAAGCTACTAAGGCTATATGCTACCTTTTATAACTTTTAACTACTGACCTGATAGAAGGTAGCCAATCAGCAGCGCCCACCATCAACGCTAAGAGTTTGACTGTTACTCTTATAACGAACTCACAGTTTAAAGTGCGTGGAACATTTTGTCGTGTCACAAGGATTCGAACCCGGTTCGTCAGATCCGAAATCCAGATCTTTACCACAGAGCCAACCCGACCCAAATCTTTACCACAGAGCTAACCCCGATCTTTACCACAGAGCCAGCCCGACCCAGTTACTTACCACAGAGCCAACCCAATCCAGATCTTTACTACAGAGCCAACACAACCCAGTTCTTTACCACAGAGCCAACCCAGATCTTTACCACAGAGCCAACCCAACCCAGATCTTTACCACAGAGCCAACCCAACCCAGTTCTTTACCACAGAGCCAACCCAGATCTTTACCACAGAGCCAACCCAACCCAGATCTTTACCACAGAGCCAACCCAACCCAGTTCTTTACCACAGAGCCAACCCAACCCAGATCTTTACCACAGAGCCAACCCGACTCAGTTATTTACCACAGAGCCAACCCAACCCAGATCATTACCACAGAGCCAACCCGACTCAGTTATTTACCACAGAGCCAACCCAACACAGATCTTTACCACAGAGCCAGCCCAAATCTTTACCACAGAGCCAACCCAGATCTTTACCACAGAGCCAACCCAGATCTTTACCACAGAGCCAACACAACCCAGATCTTTACCACAGAGCCAACCCAGATCTTTACCACAGAGCCAACTCGCACCTCCTCAAATTATCCACTTGCTTCTATACAGTTCATATATTAATAATGTGGTTTTACTCGTTACAACATTTAGTGAAATACTGAAGATACACCCCTCAGACACACTCCTAAGCCACAGGAGGGCAACATCTGTTTGAAATGCGATGTTGATGTTCCTGGTTACAACAACAACAACCGCCTGCAACACACAACAGACAAAATATTCCTGGGAAGATTTCTCGACATGCTGGCCTACATTCCATTCCTATATAGCTAGGCCTAAAAGATGAGCTCTGAGATATCTCCAAGCTCACGCAAAGTAAGATATCCCTCCATTGCTAGGCCTGAAAGATAAGCTCCGAGGTATTGCAAAGTTCGTGTAAAGTAAGATCACTTCAAATGTAAGTAATAAATATAAAACTCTGAAACTAACACAAAAATATAACGATGTAAGATAAGACCTCCAGGTCTGCGTATACAAAAAACTAAAGGTTTTATTCATGACGTTTAAAAACGGACTTCCAATAGTTAGCAGAATGTGGTGGAAAGTTCTTTGTTCATTCATGTAAAAGGGGAAAATACTGTAATGGAGTGGCTAATAATATACACAGATTAGCTTGTCTGCTAAAAGATATAAATACATGTGTGTTTGTAAGAGAGAGCTTTCATGAGAGCCGAGCGTGACCTACGAAATGAAAATTCAAGGATTAGTAGCTTGCGACCGTTTCCACGAAAACGTGTTTCGCACTTTTGAGTCCGTGAGTGCGTTATAAGAGTGACAGTCTGTCAGCTCATAATTTGGGACGGTCATACACAGATAACCTTTGTGTAGGCTTGCGTGAAAGTTCTGAGACAAACACACGAAATAGCGTGTATATATATATATATGTGTGTGTGTGTGTGTTTGTGTTTTACGACAACAAAAGACGTAATATTACTTATTAGTATTCTAACTGTTTACATATCGTCCTGTTGTCGAGAATACAGTGTCTCGTGTTACCGACAACAATGAATCTTGTTTGACTGTTATGAAATTCTAGAGTAATAAATGCTTAACTGTGGGGTAATTTTAAAGTATTTTCCAGACTCATTCATTGGATGATGACTCATCAGTAGGAAGATATAAACGTGTTTAGCTATGTCTCATTTCTTGCTTAAGTGTTTCGTATTATATAACATAAAAAGCAAAAGATGGAGATGAGAATTCGGAACCGACATTTGTGAAGCCTTGATGACTACATCCGCGATTGCTAGGAATGGAGACTTGGAGCTGATGGGAAGGAAAAGAAAGCCTGCTGTGGCGCATCGACCGTAACTTTCCATCCGCTGGTTGCCTTCTCCACGAGATGGAATGGGAAAGTGCACGTTGATGTGGCACTAGGGGTGTAGAGTCAGCGTTGCCATTGTTTCTTGTAACAACTACACATCGATCAACTGTTTTATTCTCGTGTGTGAGGGGGGGAGGGAGGTCTGTGAGGTTAATGAGATCTTTCTAAATTATCCACGCTAAAAGAATTATGGATCGACACTACCCGAATGTATCTAATTCAACGAGGTGGGAGTTATAGACATAAACAAAAACCGTATTCCTCATCAGGTATCAGTATAGAACCATACAACAATCATATCATTAGTAGAATTAAGTATTGACTTATAACAAGACACCATATAAGCAATAAATGCTAATTATAGATCAACAAACGTTAATGTTTATAAAATGTCGAAAAAGCACATCATATAGACAGTATGTGCGTGTTGTAGATTAAAGACAATTCTTGTTTATAAAGTGTCAACATTGTTTAAGAAACATCATATAGACACTATGTGCGTATCATAGATTGATCAAAGTTATTGTTTATAAAGTGTCAACATTGTTTAAGAAACATCATATAGACAATATGTGCGTGTTGTAGATTAAACACAATTATTGTTTATAAAGTGTCAACATTGTTTAAGAAACATCATATAGACACTATGTGCCTATCATAGATTAATCAGTTATTGTTTAGAAAGTGTCAACATTATTTAAGAAACATCATATAGACACTATGTGCGTATCATAGATTAAACAAAGTTATTGTTTAGAAAGTGTCAACATTGTTTAAGACACATCATATAGACAATATGTGCGTAGTGTAGATTAAACAAAGTGTCAACATTGTTTAAGAATCACCATATAGACAATATGTGCGTATTGTAGATTAAACAAAGTGTCAACATTGTTTAAGAAACATTATATATATAATATGTGCTTATTATAGATAAAAGTATATTCATGTTTAGAAAGTTTCATGTTAATATATATATACATTTGA